GTGCCCTTTCCGAGCGACATCGAGCTTTGAAAATTTACAGTGTAAAGCGGATAAAATAAAATTCCTCTATATTTTGCGCGATACGCGCGTAGATAAAAATAGACGCGAGATAATAATATCAGCGTATGTGACAAAATTGATTTCGCAGTTACAATGAATTAGAAATAATTGCCATGTGATTTTTTTCGTCTGTAAATCGTGGCATTAGATCGATACAAAAATCAAAATATTTAGAAAGTATCAAAAAAATAATACTTGCAGGGCAGAATTATTTTAAGAGAATAAATTAAAAATTATAATCTTTTCATATTATAGGAACAAATATTATGTAAAATATTTAAACGAAAAACTCTTGGTCTATTATTTTTGTAGCTTGTGTTTTATTATAACTTACATGTCACCAGTCATTTATTAAATTTTTATCTATATTATCGAAATATAAAATATTAAAACAATGTTTGCAAGTTAATATTTTATAAGAATAAAATAAAAGTTATAATTTCTTATACTAAAATTATATTATAAGAGAAAAAATATTGCAAATATAGCTCTTTTTTTAATTTAAATTTAATTTATAAATTAAAATACTTAAACAAATTATTTGCGGTTTATTATTTTATAGCTTGTGCGTAATTATAACTTACATATCACATTAATTTATTAAATTTTGAACCATTATTAAAATATTTATAAAATGCTAAAATATAATACTTGCAGAACAGAATTATTTATAAAAATAAAATTAAAATTATATCTTTACATACTTATCGATTACATTATAAAAAAAATATTATTTAAAAAATTTGTAAATTTAAATATCTAAACAAAGAACTTGGCCTATAATTATTTTATATTTTGTGCGCGATTACAACACGTACATATCACAAATTATTCATTAAATTTCAATCTACACTAAATGGAGATTTACATATTTCCCAAGATCTCGAGAATGAGAGCAAAAATAACGTCTTAGTTCGCGCGAGGAACAAATAGGAGAAAACACATGGACACAGGATTTGAAAGTAGAAATACACACACACACACACGTGCAACATATGGCATATATACGCGCACGTGTAAATGGGAAACGGTTTCTTTTCACGACGTGTTCGTGATCGCTTGTACTCGCGGGCAGTGATTAGGAGCGATGCGTGAAACGTTCGTAACGTTAATGAAAGAAGAGATCGCCCGCGGTACGTGACGTGCCATTTCCACTCGCGGTCAGATCAAGCGGAGAATTTTATCCTCTGTAACGCGCGCGATTGTTCTCGCCCCGATCCGGCGACGTGACGGCGTTTATTGGATCGATACATCCCCGCGGTTCTTTTCCTTCTCTCTCTCTCTCTTTCTCGACACTAATAAAAAGCATCGACCCGATATTATCCACTGTATATATATATATATGTATGGCGCAACCGGGCTGCTGCCGGTGGCTCGCACTGGTCACTCCAGCATCTCTCTTGATGATATAAAAAATGGCGTCCAGCAACACGGCTACGTGACGTGAGTAATTACCAGCAGCCATGTGAAACACACACGTATATGCACGAATCTAGATACGAACGCGTCCTCCACATTTTGGTGCGTAAAACGTTCTGAAGGAGGACGTTCGTTAATCGACCCGCCTTCTCCCACTTTTTCTCAAAACGCGTCTCAGAAAATGCGACGATCGTCGGGAAACTGCGTTTTCAATTTTAGATAAGAGACGTGACATCTGCGTTTTTAACACACTCGTATGTTGCAGTAATATAGCAGAAAATCTGTGAGATCTCGTTAAATTTAAATTTATATGCAAAAACTAAAAATTCTAAAAAAATTAATAAATAAAAAGGACGATTTAAAGGAAAGGATCAAAACGTTCCCAGACACAGCATATAATATTTATAAAATATTTATAATAATTACTTTAATATTTATAATTATTTTAACATTTTCAAAATATTTATATAATACTTGAAAAAATGTATATTCATAAATATTTATGAATCTTTATTATAAATATTGTGTGCTGTCTGAGTTTGAAATAATTAAAAAAGAATTTAAAAACAGTTTTGTTGCGTCTAATATCTGGCTCTCTTTGTATCTTTTGTATTTATTATACAATCTTTTTAATTTAATATTTTAAAATATAGAATATTTGTTTAAATCAGAATCATATAAATCACTTAATTGCATAATAAAATGATTCACGGATTCCATGTTTGCCAAAAAACAATATGTGATCTTGTAATTTATATGCAGCAAACATTTTGAGTGAAATGCAGAAGACATGCATAATCCATTCGGTAGCTATATATACTTTATCGCGAATGTCGCAATAAAGTATATATAGCTATCGAATGGATTATGCACTTCAAGTTAGGTTAGATTAAGTTGATATAAATTTTGACTTACATCTCGGTTAATTTTGAATCGCTGTTTAAACAGATTTAACGAAAATATTATGACATGAGATTCTCGGAGATAAGATTCTTATCAATTAAATGTAAATAGTTTATATGTCGAATCTTTGTGTAAATATTGCGTTGCATTTGTCTCTTTTTTTCAAGGATATAATTTAAAAAATATCTGCGCAAGAAATAATTTGTACAAAAAAATTTTTATTGATAATAGCTTAAATTCATATTTTGCATATGTTGTATTCAATTAGACGAAGATCTGAATATTCTCGTGTGCGATTGAACGATTATACTTTGTCGAATTATTTATTCGATAGCAATTTTTAATGATAATTTTGAATGTAGTACACGTAAGCCCTTCGTTAATATCTCATTTTTTAAATATTTAAATCGGATACACTCACTTGTATGTATATGTGAAAACGCACACACAATTTTCTCATAAAACAATACCTTTCTAGAAACACGGGTTGCAGTGATTTACAATCGGAAATTAATAAAATTAAACATTTCATATCTCTCTATTTGCGGACGAATTCGTATCCATTCGTGTGCTTTTTTAATGGGAATTAGTGTGTAACAAACTCCAGTGAATCGAATATAAATCCATTGTTGTAATTTTATTACGCAATGTATTATTAACGAACAGACGTTTCCGATAGGTCGTACCTAACTGTATCTAACTGATATTTATCAGCGCATTTATTACTTTACTCCATTACTTTCATATTTTATAAATCCGTTGCTTTAAATATTAAAATTAATCGTCAACAAATTAGATATTTATATTATGCAAAAATATAAATAAATTAACAATTATTGCATATTAGCAGAAATGCAGAACTCTCAAATTACGTAAGAGATTAATTAATTATTTTATTATTTATTTATTTTAAAAGTGAGTAAGAAATGCATAATTTTCATGAAATTTATTTTATTTTCAACAATAAAAAATAGCAGAAAATGATTCTTCTATTTCAGAAATAATTTATTCTCGAATAAACAAAAATAAATAAATTATTTTTCAAAAATTGTGCAAAAATTAAGCAACACCTGTTAAGCAGAACAAAATGGCCAATTAAAGAAATCATTTTTGTGGACATACGTTCATGTGAACTCTTTTGCTCATTTCACGAGTAAGATACGCTTCTAAAGTAGCACAGGTCCACATTTTTATTACATCTTGTATTGATCAATTTGTTCACTTCGGCACCCAGTCTCGACCAGGTTGGCTCTGCATTCCTTAAAAGCCGCTACTACCTAACGTAGCTCTGTGCTCACTTAACTAATTCTTACGGTCTCACGTACCATAAGCTGACGCGGCTGAAAATGATGAGTCTGAGATTCGAGATTACACACGTACCGAGGAACACGTTTCGAGTTATGGCACGGAATATGAAACGTTCCCTCCGCGTTGAATTTATGAAAAGGAATTAATTTGCGCGATATGGTCTCTCGGAGAGAGTTCGCGAGAGAGTCGCGACGACATTATCGATGCGAGTTTAAAAAAAATGTGTAAAAATAAGTCGACAGAGATGAACGAAATGTAGGGATACAAAATTGTGATTAAATAAATCTTATTACAATTGTCGCCACAATATTTTAAAAATGTTAAATTATCTTATTAAAGAATCGACACTCTTATTTTTATCCCCGGTATCTTTTTTTTCACTCGCAGCTTAAGATGGAGTGCAATATAGTAGAACATGTGTCGGGACAGATAAAGTCGCTAAAAGTTCCACTGTTATGCAAAAATCGCACTAATTACACATTTTGCTTTTTATTGTCGTATTATTTAGTATTAAGTAATCGCGGAAACTACTTAATTAATCATAGATGTGTCATGCACTAATGGTATCTATGATATCAGACCCTCCCGATAAGCACCCAATCTCAACAATGACGTAAATTGCAGGTAGCTTTAGCCGAAAAGATAAATAATATGTCAAGAAAACGTCATAGTCGCAAAAATGATATTTTTATTGAGTGTCAGATAAAAAGTGTATACTGCTGCGTCAGAAGATGATTGTAATAAATCCTATTTTGTAGCATGTAAATATAAAAGTTTTATAAACGATATTATTCACATGACATTTATCTTCTTTATTCTGAAAAGTTATTTTTAGAGTCCCGCACACACATTCTTATTGTTTATTTAACAATTTTGTTTCTACAACTTATTTTATTATTTGTCACGTGCATTCGACATGGAGTCCTACGTATATCATAATTTATATAATATTATATATAATATATTATATAAGTTAATTTGTAAAAAATTAGATGTAATAATTATACTGACAATTAATTATTATAAAATATAAGAGAAAAATATAGCGAATTAAAAACTGTGAAACATATCCCAAAGAAAATGCATAGACATGTTTAACGTGATCTTCTCCTATTGTTAAACGGGATAAGATACAAGCAAGTTATGTCAAGTCCCGGCAATATGCAGTAAAAAAACATGTGTAGAAAAAAATAAGACAAATAATCTTACATAAGTTGTGTCAATGTCAAGCAAAATCCGTGAGTTTATATGATGCGATTCTTTGTGGAATTATCGAGGATGGAGATTGATAACGCAATGATATAAATGCACTCGTCTTTCATCAAGAGAGCAGTTTGACTTCAATTAACACACGGATTTTTACAAGTAATCTTGCATGATGCGCACTTTACTTTTCACGCTTGTATGCCTTTCCACGATCGCTTGCATAGCAGCAGGCACTGATTTCGTGAGAGGTCAACGTCAAGAGGGCGATGAACTCCTCACAGACGAAATTATTGAAAAAGTAAGTAATTATTTTAGAAACATTGTATATATACATATATTAAATATAAAGAGAGAGAGAGAGAGAGAATTCATTTCATCTTATATATAAAATTGCATTTTATTTATCAACTTAAAAAAAAGTTTTTAATTTAAAAATTGTATAAGTCTTTTAGTCTAATTTATATTATTGAGAGTTCCATATTTAAATTTTGTAAATATTAAAAAAAATCGTATTTTGTACAGTTATTGAGTTTGAGACTTTGTATCATAATTTTTGGACGATTTATTTAAGCATCAATATTTAGATATGTACTTTTTTATATAATCTTATTAATATTTAATATTACACTATAGAAAAACTTTACGTTTTTATTTTATCTGACTTTATTTTTTATATTATTTATAGTAATTGATATACTCAATACATAAAATTTTGCAGTTTAATTGATATATGTTAAATATTTAACATTCTCTTTAAAATTAAGTTATTTTATTTTAGTGCATTGTTTTTTATATTATCAATATCCTATTTATTTACAGCCTATAGTTTCTAAACTTCTTCCTGTGGTACACAAAGTTCAGCTTAAGGCTCCTGCAGGTAAAGTTATCACCTGCGTTAAAATCAGTGCTCTACAAATCCTCAATGTTAAGTTAGCAGTAGGCAAGATTGGCGAAGAAAAATTGGAGATAATTATTATTGCAAAACGTGGAGAAAAATTAAAATTACGCATAGAAGCTTACGTCTGCCTGTCCTCCCAAGGTCACGACTTATTAGGTGATCACGGCTTATTAGGTGGGTTATTAGGTGGCTTATTAGGTGACCACTCATCTGGTCACCACTCATCAGGTCACCACTCATCTGGTCACCACTCATCAGGTCATGACAGAGATAAAAGCAGAAATACATCCGAGGATAAAAATAGCGACGAATCATGCGATAATGATAGAGACAACTCTTCCAATGATAGTACCGACAACTCATCTGATAATAGTGACAATAGAAGCGATCGTACAACTCGTAGAAGAAGTACCACGCGCCACACTACTACCCACAACCATAGAACCACGCGTAGAACTATTCCTCCCAACAGTAACGATGATTCATGCGACAATGATAGCTCTGATGACAATTTATCAGATAATGGAAGCGGCCGTACAACTCGTAGAAGAAGCACCACGCACCACACTACTCCCAGCAGTACCACCGCGCGCACCACTACTCCCAGCAGTACCACTGCGCGCACCATTATTCCCAGCAGTACCACTACGCGCACCACTACTCCCAGCAGTACCACCACGCGCATCACTACTCTCAGCAGTACCACCACGCGCATCACTACTCCCAGCAGTACCACTGCGCGCACCACTACTGTCAGCAGTACTACTGCGCGCACCACTACTCCCAGCAGTACCACTGTGCGCACCACCATTCCCAGCAGTACCACCACGCGCAACACTACTTACAGCAGTAGCACTGCGCGCACCACTACTCCCAGCAGTACCACTGCGCGCACCACTACTGCCAGCAGTACCACTGCGCGCACTACTACTCCCAGCAGTACCACTGCGCGCACCACTACTCCTAGCAGTACTACACCTAAAGATGAAAACACTACCGAGTGTGAAGATGACAACAACACTACTCCCAATGATAGAAGCACACGTGATCATAGTGGCGGATCACTTGTTGATGTTAATGTTGATGTTGGTGGAAGCGATAGCTAACACAAAGAAACTTGGTATTGAAGTTTCTGGAACTATTGATGTTTAGATTTGATAGTAAATATAAAGCAGCAGCATACGCAATAAAAGAAGCAGTAGCACGGTTGATAATGATATTAGTAGCACTACTCCCGACAAAGCAAGTGATAATTAATAGTTCAGGCAATGATACAAATATACAGAAGCTTAATCATTATTTAAAATTTTTGTTAATTTCTTGATTAGAAACTTTTGCAAAAATATGTTAAAATTGAAGTACGTGACGATTATCAATATATGTATTACTATTGCATGAAATATATATATATATATATACTATTGCATAAAACCCGTCATTTAGTTAGTATATAATGATGTGTAGATTTAAATGTAAAATTATGGCTAAAGAGATAAGTATATGCTTTAATTAATTCGACACGTATCAAACTAGAATATACGTTTGCTTCTTTTTAATGATGTAAGTGTCCAGAGAATTCGCTGACGTGTATCTTGTAATTTTACAACTTTCACGAGCCGCTTAACATCGCACCCGTATATTTCCCATAAAGCGCTCTTTCGGACATTCTTCTGTTTCTCTCTTTCTTTTTTTCATATCCCAGTTGGACTAAGGTAAACTTTCAATCCGTTTGCAGCTAAATGATTATACTCTCTCGCGATCCCCATTGTCTCTCGCGATGGAAAAATTTATCTTTTGTTGCAAATCTCAACAAAACTACATTGGCACTTATTATTTTTTCAAGTGACGAGATGAAGGACTCCTTTCCTTCCTCTTCACCCACTTAAAAAGATTGTAATCTAACTCAAACTCATTTCTAATTAGATTAAAATTAGATTTGTATATTATTTTATATTAAAAAATTTGATGAAAAATCTCTATAAAATTATCTTTTGCGAAAAATTATGAAATCTCATTATATATATAATTAAAAAAATGTTTAAAATACTAATTTATCGAAACTTGATCATAGCGTATCGTTGTTTGTGACACTATTTTTCTCGATAAAAGAAACTATCAGACACACTTATTAAATTAAAAGCTTCTAATAACATTCTCCGCTTAAGGAAGCGAGTTTAACAAATTTTTTGATATAATAAACTGTGCAAAACAAATATAATGACAAAAAAGTATTACGCTATGTAAAATTAAATCAGTTTTATTCGTTTCTTTTCATTTCTCATTTACGCTTAATATATTATTCAAGTCAAAGCGCAATTTATCGCGTTAATTATCGTGATATAAAAAGGCTTTCAAGATTACTCTTCCATCTCTTTTACGCTGAATTCTTATATTTTATAATATTTTTGTTAAATTATCGCGCAACACTATAAACACACTGTAATATTTTTCTACTTAGGATAAATATAATATTCATTAATTTTTTCCTCTCTCCCTTCCTTAGTATATAATACTTTATTTTATATAATTTTTTGCTGGTAAAAGAGAAAGGCCTTTCCTTTATGTACACGCTGTAAAACTTCTAGCCGCATAAAATTATCGGCATTGCAGCATGAGATGAGTGTACGACCCTTTTTATATTTCTATTTTTTTTTTTTTTATTTACGTTGATTGATCAAGCACGAAAGCGTTTTTATTTTTAGATGGTACAACCACACGACCGGGGCGCGCTTCGCGTTTCCTTTCCTATATGTGAAAAAAACCCTACTAAAAAACTTTTATGCGCATAACGCGCGCGCGCACACATACACACACACACACACGCGCGCGCGTGCGCGCGTGTATGTGTATGTAGTATAGAAGATATTGCGCTCCGACGATTAAGAGAACGTTAAGAGGTCGAGCAAGAGCTACGGGGCTACGAAACTCGCGCACCGATATTTCGGATGATGGATCGATACGATGCCAACTGCGGTAATTTCTCTCCCGAGGAGAAGCTAAACGAGATATGAACGACACGATTAATTCCCGCGAACGATCTTTTTCGGCGCTGTTAACGGTTATCTGATTGGCTCACGCAGCTCACCCCCTGGACGGTGCAACGTAACGAGCTGTAGGGATCGCGCTTTTTTTTCTTATCGGCGCGATGGTGCGCTTTCTTTTTGCGCGACCGAGAATGCGAGAACCAGGCACAGGCAAGACCCTGGGCCTTGGCCGGTTATTACATCACGGAAGAAGCGTGTTAAGCTCAAAATAATGTTTGCACGGATCCGCAACACGTACGTTTAATTAATAAACGCGCACTTACTCAATACGCGTATCCGGCGATGGGCACGTTTTATATAAGGACTACTGAAAACAATCTCGTTCGAGTGGTTTTGTTTAAAAAAACGTTAACGTTATTTGAAATGTGTATTTTTCTTGAGGTACATACAATAGAGGTACAGCATTAATCAAAATTGTTATATAATTGAAATTAATTATTGAAATATTATAATTTTGGTAGAAATTAATATGCATATATCCATGATGAGCACATTTTAAATAAGGACTACTGAAATAGAAAATAATTATTCGAGTAATTTTGTGTTCAATATAATTTTATTTGATATATTTTTATGATAAGTATAGTGTAATAATCAAAATTATTTATTATTAAAATATTATAATACAATAAATATTAATTTTAAAAGAAAATATATTAATTTTAATAGAAACTAATCAAAAATTCTTATTTAAAATAATATTTAAAATGATCGAAATTGCGTTAACTATTGAAGAAAGAATATTTTTATATTATATTCTAAATATTTTTTCAAATGTTCATTATTTGGAAAGTAACTATTACGTTTATTTAAAATAATTTTGTGAAAACAAGTAGTGATAAATAATAAATAAAAACAATTAGCAATACGTAATAAAATACAAACAATAACAAATCTAAAAGTTCTTATAAAAGAAAATAAATATAATAAAAATATATTGAGAAAAGAAAAATAAAATATTTTGTTGCTTCTTAAATGAAAGAATACATTTATTGAATTAATGCGTACACGGAGAGAATTTTCTCTGAAAATTTATTCTGAAAATCATGGTAATAGTGCGACAATATGGTATTGGAAAAATCTTATAAGAGTTTCTCTGATTAATATTGACCACCAAAAAAATATTAATATGTAATAAAATTTACTATGTATATAGGAAATTTTATTATGTACATATTAATATTTTTATTGTAGTAAATATTAATCAGAGAAACTCTTATAAGATTCTTCCAATACCATATTGTCGCACGATTACCATGATTTTCAGGGTAAACTCTAAGAGAAAATTCTTTCTGTGTATTAATTATTTATAATCTGACAAGAAAAATAATGTTTTTAGAAAAGTATTTTTAGTTTCTATAATCATACTATTTTTTATTCATTTACTTTTATATTGATTTAATTTTTATTTAAATATTATTTTTCATTTATTCTCTCACTCTCTGCGGGTATATCGATATCTCCAAAGCTTGACCGAAACAATGTCACGCTCAATATACGAATCTTTCGCATACGACAAACTTACGGTTTATCATTGCGCATAGTATTAATTTTTCTGCCCGTCTGCGCGAATATTTATAAAAAAATAGCGGTCAGTTTCGCGCGGACATACGACCTGTTTGCGTTACATGCGCGCGTGATGTTTGCAGGTTGCGAATGAAATATGTATCGCGCGAACGGATTTTAGCACATATATGTACGTCGCGTATTCAAACATTTTACGCATTCATAACGACGCGGGCAATTACCCAAGTCGTCCACGGATGCGATAAGTACCGAGCTAAAAAAACTATAAATCTCGCGAATCTCTCGCGACACGCGCCGCGGCCTTTTCGCGTGACGTCACGTGACGCACGTGGAGGTACCCATGTAATGTCAAAGCGTGACAAATCTCAGATTATCCCCTTTTCGGGGGTAGTTAACAATACGGGCGGCGGGTTATGTAGAAAGAGCGGAACCGTGATGTTAATTTCCTGTTGGCGAGCCAAACAAGGAGAAACAAAGGCAGATGGGGGATCTTTGCTACGCCTGTCTGCTTCCAGTCTCTCCCATCCCTCTCTTTTCAAATCACGCCCGTTGTCAAAGATGAAATGGATATTGCCTTCAGCTTTTGATAATGACGCGTTAAATTAGTCAGTTTAAATAGAGAACTATATATATATATATATATATATATATATATATATATGCAAGAATATATAATTGAAAGACGAAATCGAAGATGGAATTAGTTGGAGAGAAAGCTTGTTGAATAAAAGATGCAGTCAATGTGGACGAAAATGGTAGAAGGCGCTCGAAAACAGAGTTTAATTAATTAAGCATCAACCTATTCGATTTATGTATAATACCTGATATATCTGGAAAATGGAAATTGTTTCTTAGAATGCACGCGTTTGCAAAAATAACTCACTGGATCGATGAATGTTATCGACGTTAATTGAAAAAGCACAAATTTTTAATGAGAGATACACGTTAATGAAATAATTTCTCGAGATAAAAAGAAATATAATAACAAAATTAATTGAATTAATATAAAGCGTAAACCTTGCGTAAATACTTACGCACGCACGCACACAAATACAGATTTTAATAAATTTATATTTATTAAATATAATTAATAATTTATATATACATATACATATATATTTATATTTATATTTATTTATTTAAATAAATTAATATACAAATATATATATGTACATATATATATATAGAAAGAAAAAGAAGGGGAAGAAATGAAGTAATAAATCAAATGCTTAATTAAAAAAATGTAATGAGCCACTGAAATGGAGACAAATCTAATAAGATGATAATGTGCCATTATGCGTTTATTTGCCAGGAAAGCAGACTAGTTATATATATATATCGGACTTTGTCTTGCTTTCCAGCCTCGAAGTTTAATTAACCTGTGAGAAATTTGCGTAAGGAAAAATTACGCCATTGTATAAACAAGATGCTGTTATTCTCTCAGAATATAGTTAAATTTGTAGCGTAGCACGAGAGATACACAGTTGAATTTTAGTACAACCGGAATGTATAGAACTTTGTTAAAGATAAACTTTCGACCCTGGTCTGCATTCTTAATTCATTAACTTCAAAGTTATTTTAAAATTGTTGAGGCATCAATCTCCCTCCCTCCTCCTTTCCTCTCCCCTCTCTTTCTCTTTCTACCTCCCTCTTCTCTCTTTCTTCTGTCAAATTTGAATTATTAATAAATTTGTACGGATCGTTCAAATCTGAATGCATTTTACTTTCTTTAAATTAAGGTATTTAAATACAGGTATTTTTGACGATGCATTGTGGTAAAAAAAATTTCGCATAAATAAATGTATAACTCGGCTATCTCTAAATCATATATACACTTTTTCTTTTTACATTTTCTTTGCGCCAAGAGTAGGTAAGATCCCGGGGTATTTCGTTTAATTCCGAAAACTTGTACAAGGCAAAGCAGAATAGTTTTTGTGCGTGTTATTATATGCGCGGCGCGGAAAGCTATTCCCACAAGCTGTAAGCGAAGAAACAAGTTCTCTATTCAAATAAATCGGCTTTATAGAGTCGTAAAAGAGCTCGCGCTTCTACTTCTGCGTAATTTCGTATGCCCCTGTTGCAGGATTAAGGA